GGCATGGGATTCAAGATTCAAGATTCCATGAAAACTTTTCCTCCAGATCTTGAATCTTGAATCTTGAATCCTGAGCCCGATTGAAGTTCAATGGGGCGATTGAACTTCAATCGGGCAATGGTAATACAACCTCTCAGAAAATGAACCCTCCGAATAACCACAAAATGAACCCTTCGAATAACCACTGAAAAAGATGAGTTTCTACTACGCTGGCCACTAGTTCCATCCAAACGTGGGTTCCTGGGGGGGAGGTACCATATGTATACATATTTCTGTATGTATACTGTATATATATATATATATAAGCTAGGACGTAGAGGAAGTTCAAAAGCGCTGCAGCCTTGAGATCATTTAGCACCATGCGCTATGATATCTGCCACCTCTCGTTGCCAGCCCAACCCCCTGAGAGCGAAGTCCCAAACACGGTATCCCAGTATCCCGCTCTGAGGCTAGATGCGGGACATGAAGAGCTGGTTGAGCAAGCGCTTCCTGACCAAATGAAGCTACCCGAGCCCCCTTTTACCCCTTCAGTGCTTGCGAGAGGGCTGCGACAGTGGCTTGAGCGAAACCCTCACTCTTTCCCGCCTGTCTGTGGCTAGGCCGGAGTCTGCAAAGCGCTGGACCACGGGGCCTTCAGCACATTGCTACATATTGCTCCTCGTGCTGACGTCAAGCCTCCAGGCTGATGATCTGAGGCCCTCGCTGTCAAAGCCTCTCAAAAGCAACTCCACCACAAGGCGCTGACCCTGCATGCTGCATCCAACGCGAAGAAATGCTAAGGGGGGTCCTCTCGGGCCTTATAATAGAATGTTGTTGCAGGTTCAGTCACCCCCGGATCCCTTTGGTAGCGAAAGCTCTGTATCGAATTTCACGACCTGAATGAAACACCGGGCTGGGTCTGCTGTGCTGGCCTTGCGGCTCGAACGTCAAAAAACAAGGCTAGCGCGCAAAATCGTGATGAAACACAGTATGTGCCCCAGCGACTTCGGCCTCCTCCCCAGCTGCCGCACCGGCAGCCAGCAGCTCCGACATCGCGCCTTCAGGGTTGCAAAGTGCAGGCAGTTTGCTTGGAAGCTACATCGGGCAGCCGAAGCAGAACGAATTTGACGAGTAATTACAGCTCATCTAGCAGAACGTCCTTTGTAGTGGCCAAAGCCACGCATCAATGTTCAAGCCCTGACGCCATGGAACCGATTGCTACTTTGTTCATCACCATCCACGCCTGTTTTTGCTACTGCTAATTTATACCACTTCTTCAGCAATACTACTCTTACTACGAACTTACGACGACTACAGCCATTGATACGACTGATTGTCACAGCTTACCTGGATCTTGAAGAAACTCGAGCAGCGCAGCGCTGAAAGTGCTCCGATGGGCACAGGCCAAGGTCAGCAGTGCCTCACAAGGCAGCAGGTTGCAACAAAGCTCCTCGGTAAAAAAGTAACGGGGTTGTAGAGATCCATAGGGTTTTATTGTGACATTTATGCTCGGCGGTATGTCAGAGTGGAACACTTATACCATCAATTATCGGATGCTACAGGATGATAGCTAAACCTGGAATCAGATTTGCCACGAAGAGAAGAGCCTTCCGCGCACATGTGCGCACTTCAGCCTCGCTTTTCCTGCGCCCCAATTCACATCCCCGAATGTGAAGGCAGCCTGGAAACAGCTCATTCTCATAACAGCACATTGTTCGAGCTCCTGCCATCACCCGCAACGCAGTCTTCTGCTGCCTCACACCAAGGATCAGTGCAATGGCTTCCTCAAGCCTGGCTCTTGTACTGTGACATGTAACAATCTTTTGGGGCCCGCAGCTGTCATGAGCAAGGCAGCAAGGCTTGCTGATGCTTCCTTGGTGTCCATTTTTCGCGCCTTGCTGTTTTCCAAGGGCTGCATCAGCTTCAGCAGAACTCGCACCTTTTTGATGGCTGGATTGCAACTCTGGGAAGAGAGACACACGCCGGGTTACTGCATTCTTCTATTATTCGCATGCTTCTTCTCTTCTCTGTCCTTTGTTGAAATCTTGAGCCTGCCTTGCAAGCACATGTAATGCTTCATGAGACACTTTACGTAACCTTGCTCAAGCACAACATGCTGTTTGACAAAGCCTCCTTGGCTCGACGTGCAGACGTGGTGCCTCAGTGCAGGCAGACGTGACACGACGCAGATCATCTTGAAACTCGGGCTTGCAACGGCCGGCAGTAAGGGATGCTGCTACCTACTGCATGTGGAGGCAAACTTGGGATTCGCCAGTGATGATTGTTCAGCCTGAAACCCATAGCTGCAACCTCATCGATTCCGTTTCTAAGTGCCAGAACTCATTGGCTCCACCTTCTCTGCAGCATCGCTACCTGCATGCCATCCGCAAGGGCTAGGGCAGTCCAAATCAACTGAATCAAATGTAAACGTAGGCAACATCTTGCTTGCACCCTGATCATGTGCAAGTATGTTCAGACATCTGACCTGAAGACGCTGCAGTTTTCAATGCACGGACTGTCAGCCACCCTGGGGCCAAGGCCGACGGATCGCAGTGGGCTCCGTGGGCTGGGCGTGCTGCGGAAGCCCCGGGCAAGGAGCTCGCACCTGCTTGGTCGCGGCTCATGTTTCTGGAAACGTTTCCTGAAAGAAGGAAAATCGAACGAATAAAGGCTTTACTCGCGCTGCGTAGACAAGGGGCACAGGCCAGGTGGTTGCAAGGCATGAAGGCGCTGACTGCTTCCATGTCCGAGCAATTAAGCTTCTGGCGCCAAGATGGTTTCCCGTGGTCTTTGCACTCCCGTCTCCTGCGGTGCATCCAAACACACACAATGGGTCTGCCAAGTGCTGGACAACCCCAGAACATCACCCTCCCAGACTCATGAGAGCTTTGCTGAAGACAGGCATTCCACAGCCGCGGATGAAGCTTTCAAGATCAACATGCAACCTGCAGCACGGCCAAGAGCACCGCCTCCACTTTCGGATCCTCTCAAGGGTGGAATGACGCCCCTCAAAGCTTCAAAGCAACCGCAGCTGCCACACTAAAGCAAACTCGCTTCCTTGCTTTCAGGCAAGCAGCTACGCACCGGGACATGAAGAGCTCAAGCCGCATTTCAGATTCACTCTTCTGCCGGGGCTCTGCCTGCAAGGGCAGGAAGCCGCCTTCCTCCGAAGTGGTCTCATACAGGCTCTGCCTGAGCTCAGCAAGGAAGAGCTAGCGCCAAGACTCTAGCTACTCTCATCATCCCAGGCCCAACAAGACTTGGCCAGCTGCCCAGTTCCATTTCGGCTTGTAGCGTGCGCATGCAAGGGCTGGATTCAAAGGAGGGCCCACCATGAATTGGCTTGCTTTTTCAAAGTCTTTACAATCCACCGACGGGTTCCTGAGAAACTGGCATGACAATCCCAAAGCCGAAGCCCTACGAAGTGCCTTATGGACTGCCGGAATGCATGTTGGGATTTCGGGACTTACGGTGAAACCTAGATTCCAGATCACCCCTGTACGTGAGCCCTGAACAAGGCTGGGTATGAAGCCAAACCTGAAGTCAAAACACAAACCCTGCGGCCCTCAAGCCTGAGACTCAGAATCCAAGAAGCTAGCCAAGACCCTACACTTGAGCCCTGAACCCTGCACCGCCCCGAGCACTCATGTTGCAAGGCTAAAAACCCGAAGGCTTTAGGTCATCAAACTTGAAGAGCTACCTGAATCCTCCGATAGAGTTTCTCGTTGAGTTTGTTGAGGTTTTGGTCAGGACTCTGATGAGGATCCTCTACAAGGTGCTACCGTAGGGTCTGGAGGCTTTCGCGGTTTCAGAGCAAGTTCGAGGCACTGCATAGGAACAAGCAGCTAGATGCAATACTGCCTCGGACAAGGATGCATTTCTCTTCAGCTAGGTCTGCCATTTTGTCACTGCTCGAGTCTTCGAACACATAAGCCAGGTGCGGTCTGCTGCTAGCAACCCAATCCCGAGAGTCCCGATGGTTGAGCAGCACAGCCGCTTAAAAAAAAACGGCAGAACTTGAAACAACCCAAGGACCCGAGAATCTTAACATGGACACCGCATCGGCTGCAATGTGCAAATGACAAGCATTCCCACACAAGCTCTAAAGGTTCTGAAGACGGAGAGAGACACAGTTGATCCCTGTAAGTATCCCTGCGTCATCCACCAGAATCGTTCCTACAACCACTTCCCACTCCGCCTCAAGCACCGGTAAGTTGCTGGGGCGCCTGGCAGCCAGGTGGCTTTGGCACCTTCAGGCGCAGCCAGGAAGCGGATCGCTGTCTTGGCGGCCTTGCAGCGGTTCAACTTCACAATTGTCCTTCTGTGCCTACACTGGTATTACAGGAGCCAAGTTGGGCCATTGCAGAAGACTTCCGTCCCAAAGCGCTATTTCAACGTCTGCAGTGACCTGCTTAAGTGGCCTTCGGCAACGACAGGAATCGCAATAGCGTCTCCTCAGCATCAGAGAGAATCTCCGGCCTGGGCTCATGCTTCGCAAACACCAGAGTTGTACAGGGCATGCAACCCCAAATTTTGCATATCCCCCTAATCCAACTAAAAAAAGACTTACTGGTGCTTAACCTCAGGGCGTGGATCCCTGTAATGGTCCCCTGTCTGTACTGGTATCCACGTTCCTTCCCGATTCCCCACGCTCCCTGCACCAGAAAGAAGTGGTAGGCTCAGGGCTGGTAAAAGAGTTGCCGCAAGAATTCCTGGAGAAGGCGCTGCCGCTCCTTGTCTCTACAAAAATTTCACAGACTTCCACGCAAAGCCCCGATGCCGTACTTGCTTTCAGGTTACGAGCGGGCTGTTGTAGCCGCAGTGGCCAGTGCACGCAAAGAATACCACTCTTTGACGCCGCATGAGGACAACTGCAACCCAACCGCAACAGCAGCCTGAAGGCAAAGTCGCTCCTGAACTGTGTTGGGCTCTTCGTTGCCCCAGTAGTAGGTCCGGGGCCTGGATGCTTGGCTGCTCCACTCGCCATGACAAATTCCCAATGCTGGATCTAAACGCCACGCCGGGCATTTCTCTCAGCGGAGTGTCCACTTTGCATGGTCTGAGGTGCTGGGTGCGTGGCAAGCGAGGCAGCTGAAATGGCACCTTCCACATCCACCGCATATGCTTATGCTGGCAGCACAGCCGACCGCCCTCGCTTGTGCTTGCCTGAATACAGAAGTCTCATGGTCCACCAGCGTCACTATCCACACAATCCCACAGCGCACGGCTTCTTTTGAAACACGTGACACATGGTGACTCCTGAGCCTCTCAGGTTTCGGGCTCTTGCAAGGCTCTTGCCAGATGTATCGTGATCCTGTTTGGGATCAGCTTGGCAGAAGCTATGCTTTCTGCACGGTTGGGCCACCGCTTTACGTGGGCACTTTGAGGGAGGCTTAGCGCCAGGAAACGGCTTCTGTTTCTTCTTTCGTCGTTTCTGTTGTACCAACTGTTTTAAATTTGTTCGGCCTTGCCTGCTCCAGCAAGCCTCACGTCCCGTGCAGGACTCAGATTAACTCACTTGCCACGCTTCTTCGTCGCGATGGTCTGCGCAAGCTGGCGTGCCTCAGTGTTTGCTGGGCTTTGCAAACTGTAAGGGTAGGTCCGGCAAATGGGTGCATGGAAGCCAATGTTTCAGCCAGATGGCGCGCTGCGACAAATCCTTCACATATCGCCAATTTCCCTGGGCCACAGCGTCCTCCAGAGCCACGGGTACAATTCTTCTGCCAGACCACTCCTTTACAATTGCTACCGTCCTTACTCCATGGTGCCTAGTTGTGAAGGAGGGGTCTGTAGGGACTGGCATAGGCATAGGGAATCATGCAGGGACTACTATAGAGAGTTGTTCCCCCCTACTACGCACCAAGTAAGTCAGCCGCTCACCTGCCTGTGGGACCATCCAGGAGCCGCCGCAGCACGCCACTTGCGGCAACATCAGGTACTTCCTTAGCCCAACTGTCTCCAACCATCTACGTACGGAACGCTTTCAAGGTATCCCTCGAGTGGTCACAATAACATCTCCTAGAATCGTCTGCGCAACCCATTGTTCCATTCCCTACTAATTACCAGGGAGTCACAAAAAGCAGCGTTCTGTGAATGCAGCCTGAGAGCTCGAGGTTATCCTCGGACACACCACCTTTGCCGTGCACTCTGGAAACTGAGCTCCAAAGGTCATTGGGACAAAGCCAACAAAGCCTGAGCAGCCTCTGAAATTCCGCAGCATACAAGCAACAACCCTTGTACCGTCACCTGTATGGCCGGCCGAAGTCTAAAACCTAATCCATCGAATCCTGGCACCCTGTCATTGCGCACCTGTGGGCATCCACGTGATCTGTCCGTATGGGGCCGAGATGGCCTTTAACGCGTTCACTCCGCCATTGGCCTGCCACTGCGACTGAAGTGACATGTGTAGTTTGCAAACCTGTCTTGTTCAAGCGCCTCAGCTGGGAAGAACTTCAACACAGAGAGACCGAGGCGCATCGCGCTCTCAACCTGCCACGCCACGCAGGGCGGGGGCTTCAACTGTGAGAAACTCACTGAGATCTGACCACAAGGAACTGCAGAAAGCAACTCTGGACGATCCCTCTGCTCGCTCGAGGATGTCTCTTCTTCCGCACTTGAGGCGATTATAGGCTGGTAATGGAAAAGTGATGTCAGAAGTCAGAAATCTTATTGGCACAGGAAGGCCTCTGTTGGTGTGGCAACACCCGGGATGACTGCAACGCCATTTTCCAGGCACCAGTTCACAACCTGCCCAATCGGAAACGCATAAAAAGCGCTGCAAAGAGAAGGATCTCTCCCAGGTGTTTAGTTGGAAATGGTTTTAGGGACTGTTGAAGGGCGTATGGAATTATAGAGGCTGCAACAAGGATCCATTGCCCCATTCCCCGCCAAGCACCAGATAATAGTTCCATGCAGGACTGGCCTCCGGGTTCAAGCCTGGAGACACGATGAACTGGGCTCCAGCATCGACAGCCTTGGGCGAGGCTCCCAGCTACAAAGGTCGCATCCTTTGCAAAACAATACCAAGACTAATAGCAATAGTCATAGTTCTGGCCATAGTAGTGCTGCCATATGCATCTATCTCCAGATCTTTTGCACTGCACGAACAGTTCATTCTGTGAGTAACCACAACTGTTCTCATGGCAGGTTCATGGGCTGGCGCTCTTGGGATCTACAACCAGTCTTGCAGCCAGAGTGCTCTCTTTGCCTGGTCCACAGACAGAACCGTCCCAGCGCCCACCTTGGACTTTCTCAGACACTTAGTTTCTGGCATGGAATGACGCAAAGCTCTTTCTGAAGCCACCAAGGCTCTAAAGCATTGGGCTCTGCTGCTGCCATCCGCCGCAGCGCTTCCTAGCGCGAGCTTCCACGGGTCCCACACACACCAAGCAATGCGCTTTTCGCCTCCTGCAAGCACCTGAAGTCTTCCCTGTAATGCAACACATCCCTAGGGTCCCTGACATTTATGATGGCCCCCTACTTGGGTTCTTCCAACAACTAAAACCCCTTTTTTGGTAGTCCACACAAAACGGATTACCGCCTATTGGGCTCTATTTTTGGCTTCCCCATTTGGGTTTTCCGGTCAATGTTTATGCTAGCTTCTCGAGAAGCCCGCATGTGCAATCAAACATGGTCCTCAGCAGCAGCGGTTCGGAAGACCACCTGCCCACTCGCGTATGGTGTACTATAACCATGTGGGAACATGAGGGAATGGCGTCCCAAATGCCTATAAACATCACCTCCAGACACGTATAGTAATATCCTGTAGGCCTATAGGCTCAGGTGTTATTATAGTAATTAGTTGCCACCAGATATCGAACCCCACCCCCCGCTGAAAGCCTTTTAGAGCCTCTTTGGAAATCAATGCCT